CTCTTTTTTGAGTCATCCTCAGCTATACATAATTATCAATATCTAACCAGGAAAATATAAATAAAATTTTAATTTAAATATCAAAATCATGGATCGCCATCATCCTACACTGTTGTATATTATCCTGGTTGGATATAGTTAGGTGAGTCACTTGGTTTTTGATTATAAATGGGAACATATTAAATTATTGGTAATTTATTCCATAGACATAAGAACATCAAATCTATTAATTCGATGTGACTTACTCGTTATTCAATTGGGTTATAATTATGTATAGCTGAGGATGACTCAAAAAAGAGTCGAAACGTATTAAACTCTATATATGTATTGTTGAATAAAAGGATTTAATATATCCAATTTTGTTGTTTGACGTACCAACAGCAACGTGGCACTCTCATTAACTTCCTAATTATAGGAAAATTTTACTGGATTCGTTTGGAATTTGAGAGTCAATAACGATATCGTTTTTGGACTTGTTTATTGAAGATAATCTACAAGATAGAAATGGATCTATTTATCCCGCACTACACGCTATTTTTCTATGATTAATTTGAAGAAACGGCACTAAAAGAAATTACAAGAAAAAGAGAATTCTTAAAAACAACACGGGTTACAAAAATTGCGTGGCGGTCGATGAATCAGAACATAACTCGCACGGTTGGCAAATTGTTGAAGGATGTAAATGTACAGCATAAACACGACGCTCCGTGTAATCTACAAGGTGCACGAAATGTCATACCATTTAATTATCTCATTAAAATAATACTTGTAAAGTAAATCGGTTTTTTTTAACCGTATGAACAAATTCTATCTGTACTGGAAATTCCGTTAGGTGAGGCATCACGAGTCGGAATTGGATGTACGCATCAGTTTGTAAAATGGCGGCATAAAATGTTAATTATAAAGTAAAAGTTACATTGTTTTTCACGTAAATAGAGAGTGTGGCGTAGACTCGAAGACGTTTTCGCTCACATCGTGCAATTGTTTGTCTAGAGATTTTTATGTCGGAACGTAGTGACATAAGGATCTTCAAAAGTTATAAATAAGTAATTAATCAGCGATCATACTGAATTATTCATTTTTCAAGCTTTAGTAATTCTATATATCAGTTCTGTATCAGTTTTGTTAAAAATAAATGTGTAATATCTCATGTAGCACATAATATCACAGCAACATCATTTCAATATTACAATAAGTCTAGCAGAAATATTATAGAAATATTATTAGGATGTCACGCGAAAATGAAATATTACCGAGTTATATCACAGAAATATCACTGTAATATATAATATTTGTGTGATATTTACATAATGTTTATATTTATGTAACATTTATCGGAAAAAATTGAATCATTTTAAAGAATTATTAAAAATTTCATTGAATTGAACATCACACACTTATAAAATTATGTGTGTGTACACACGTATAAATTTTTGATATCTTAATAGTCTCTGGCGTTAATAAGACATCGTAAAAATATTATTATGTTACTTTACTGTTTAAGACGTACGTTACATTGCTACAATATTACTGTGACATTATATGTTGATTCTCGTGTAATACATCAGTAATTCTGTGATATTATATTGTAATATGTAATTTTTCTGGTATATTGCAATATTACTTGATATTACTGGGATATTACGTGTTATGTGAAATGTAGAGCAAATAGTATAACATTTCGTGCGCCACCCTGTATTTCACGAACGCTCTTCCGAGCATCCGGGAAGATACTTTGTTATCCTTCCAGCGTCTCTCTATCTCAGTGTATATTTTATTTTACTAATAAAACCGTGATAGATGTTAGTATGAAATCGGAAATCGACTCCCAATGGCGGCGTGCCGTACGGTTGAACGGGAGAAATAAAAATCGCAATCGCAAATGTACTATCGAGATACTGTATAGATACAATGCGAGATAGCATGAATACAGCGATACGATGCTGACTAACACCAACACTAATCAGACTTAATAAAATTTACTGTAATACAAAGTACGTTTCGCTTAGCCTTTTCGATTTTGTTTCCTGATGTCGTGAAACTAGCAGCGAATTATACGAGTCGAGCTTTGTGAGCTTTTGTCAAATGGAACAGTTTTAATTTATCCTTGAAAGAATTTTTACTTCGAAGCATTTGATTGGTCAATTCGTAAAATTCTGTTTTTGTGATTAGTCAACGAAACATTGCACTTCTTGTTCAAAATCAACAAATAAGCGTTGAATCAATTTGCGCGAAGCTTGAATATTTCACATATTAAATTCAATCGGAGATTCGTTCAAAAAATCAGTGCTTTTTATGAAGAGACATAATCATAACCATCAGACTGCACATACATATATTTAAAATTGAAGATTACGAATTAAAATTCTATTACGATTTTGTTTGGCGCGCGCGCTATGGATTTCTAATTCCTAATCTTTAATATATATCAGGGTTGAGAAAAACCCGGGATTTTTTTTAAAAAAGCTTATCCGACTGGATATTTTGAGTTTTTTTTATAAAATTGATTATTTGATATTTTTTTCATATAATATTTCATTTATGTTGTATTTATTATCATTATCTAATTATTTATTCAAATAAAATTAATCATAAAAGAATTTGGTAAAAATATGAATTTTTCAAATATAAAAAAAAAACACTTTTATAATAAAAGTGAAGATAAAGAAAGAAATGATAGCTCTATATGCATTATAAACTATATTAACATTTATTTACCAGATAATTTAACGTTTAAAATTAACGTTTAAACAAACTTTTGTTAAAAGAAAGTTTGGTGTTTGATTATGATTTTCAGCATTCCATAAATTTCGGGTTTTTTTAAGCGCGTAAAGTTCAAAAAAATCCTGGATAATAAATAATACCGCGCATATTATGGTGTGTTTTAGGCCCGACCGGGTTAGCACTAACCTGGAAACATTACCGACGGGATCGTAGACATTGGCTACGTAGTTCAATGTCCACGTTTTATGAATATAGAGGCATTTCAAAATAAGGTAACATGATAGAAACATGGTAAAGTGGGTATAAAGAGAGTGACACCAAAATTACCCGGAAGTCGCCATTTCTGTCAAATATTTAATCAAAAAAGAATAGCAGCAAAAATATAAATTTTTTTTTCTTTTAAATCTCGGTTATGCACGTGAATCCCACGAGTAATAAAATTGCCAAAACGAGTAGCGAAATCGCGGATAACGTCTTAGTTGCGGATCCTACTCCGTTCGCGAGCTATCGATTCTCATCGAGAGCGGGCCTTTACTTTGGTAGCAAATCGTCAAAGACGAGTCTCGTCCAACCGATTCAAACGCAATCTGACAAATCGCGACACGGGAGTGTATATCGAAAATGAAGGATTCCTGAGGAATCTATGATTCTTCCTGTCTGTTGTAAGTACTTCTCAATTCTCGCATTCGATAAATCGACGCACGGTTCGATACCGTCAAGAGAAACAATAAGCGGACACGACGACGAAGCGAAGAAAGTCATTTAGTTCATCAACGTAATGGAAAAACCAGACTTTTTCGATGACCCGTCGTTGATCGAAAGCTCTCTCTCTCTCTCTCTCTCTGGGCGAGAACAGAAGGCGGATTTCCAATACCGCCGACGGCGCGTAAACGCGACCAAGTGTAGGAAAAAAAAAACTCAGCCGCGAGGGAATGCCACTCGTCGTCGTTTCCGCGCGTCTTCGTCGTCGCCGATGCCGTCGGCTCGCCGTCGTGGCCGTCTCTGGACGGAGCGGACGGACGCCTGTTTCCGCGCGAACCAAAACATCAATGACCTTGAAAGCCGTCGCGCGTCACGTGACCGGGAGGGAGGGTGGCGGCGATTGGCTCGCTGGGGCCGCGTACAACGTGTATTGCGTCGCGCGGCCCGCATTCCCCGTCCAATAGGATTCGCGCGCGCCGCGCCAGAAGGCGCGAGAGAGAGAGAGAGCCGGTGGGAGGGGAGGGACGAGGTGGACAAGAGCGAGCCGTGAACGGCGCGAGGACGACGACGACGAGGACGACGACGAGAACGACGGTGGCGGCGACGACGGCAGAAGCGGCGGCAACAACAGCAGTGGCGACGGTGAACGGTAACGGTGGTTGTGGCGGTGACGACGAGGACGACGACGGTGGTGGCGGCGACGGCGACGGCGATCGAGACGGTGCGCCGTGTTGTCGGTCGGTGGCGTACGCCGTACGTGTTAGTGCGTGTGTTCGTGCGCGAGCGCGGTTGGTCGGTGGCTCGCGTTGTTGTATCCAAGATGAAGTCCGACTCGAAACCTTTGTTGACAGCTCAGGCGGAGAAGGCGAATCATTACACGTAAGTAGCGGCCGGCCGGGGCCGCCCCGCCGCCGTGGCCGCGTGCCTCCTAAACTTTGCGTGCGAGACCGCGCGAGTATAGCGGCGAGATAACTCGGCGCGCGATGGAGCGCGATGCTGCCTGCGTGTGTCGCGCCCGCCGATACCTCTTAACGAGAAAGAAGCAGCATATAACGAGGGGGAGAGAGTGTGTGAGAAGGGCGGTGAGCGCGAGGGAGACGTCCCGAGACGCGAATTCAGTTCGGCCGTTTCGTTTGCCACGCCGGGAAGTGCGCGGATCCATCCCGAAAGTGCAGTGCGAAGAAAATTTGATCAAACATATTGTGAGGGTGGGAAGGGAGAGAGGGATTACACTTAAAAGTATAGTAGAGAAGGTAACGGTGTGGCTAGAGAGGGAACAGAGTGGGATAGCTAGAAAGAGAGAGAGAGAGAGAGAAAGAGAGGGAGAGAGTGAGCGTGCGAGTGAGAGAGAGAGAAAGAGAGAGGGAGAGAGCCGCGAGCAACGAACGCGGCCTATACGTGACTGTATCGCGACGCGCGCGTCCTACGATTCGCAAAAATACATGTATGAGCGGTGAGAGAAAGAGAGAGAGAGAGAGAGATAGAGACGCGCGGCGCGGCAGCGTGGTGGCAGAGGAGCGTGGCAACCTCTACGGGCGGAAAATAATGTCCAGCACGGTGGATTCGCATTCCAGATACTTGAAGGAGTTCCGCGTCGATCAGTGTCCCCTCTTCATACAGCGCAAATGCACGCAGCACCGACCGTTCACGTGCTTCAACTGGCACTTCATGAACCAGCGGAGACGCAGACCGGTGAGAAAGAGGGACCGCACCTTCAACTACAGTGCCGATAATTATTGCACCAAGTATGACGAGACGACTGGCATCTGCCCCGACGGGGACGAGTAAGTTCTTTGTCTTTTATTCCTTTTTTTTTTTTTAATAATCACTCTTTCCTCCTCTATTGCGCATCGCGTGGTAATTACGTAGTATGTGTGTACACGGTATGCGTTCTTCTCGCCTCGGTCTCTCTGTGCTGCTCCCGTGCGTGTGTAGGAACATCATGGCAGAGAGCGAATTACGGCATTCACGACGCGACGATTCTGCTTCGAAACGTCACTCGCGCGACCAGTCTTTCTCTCGTCGTCGTCGTCGTGGTGTCGCCGAACGGCAGGCTCCTTCGTGTCGATAAGTATACGCGCGATGCGTACGTGTGCGTGTATGTGCATTACATATCGTGTGTGTGTGTGTGTGGTGTATATATATATATGTATATAAATAACGTAACGCGACGTATATATACACGTAGCGTTGCGATCGCGACATACGTGTCCCTCGCGCGCGCACGTACGTGTTTACGTTCCGGCGCGCGTCTCTTTCATCCCCCACGACGAGAAACAATTGTTGCTCGGGTCTTCAGCGGGGATCAGGAGTAAGATAAGGAAGCAGATACCGCGCGTAAGGTAAATGTGCAGTGTATCAGTTAGTAACCGTGAAACCGATTGTTGGACAAAGTGATAAAACGTTTCAAATATTAATCCTGCAATATGTATGACTCGTAAGTTGTTTATAAAAATTTAGTAACGAATTTTTACTTAGAATCGTACGTATCGTTGAAAGCTTGATATTTGAAATGTCTCCTCACTTTGTCCACACAGCAATTGATTCATTATTCATTAATTGATACATTTACCTAACAATAAACGATAACAAAGGACAAGAGTCAATTTCAAGTAACATACAATATAGAAAGTCGAGGTATAAAGTATAATAATTATAATCTATAATTGTCTAATAAACTGTAGAATAATGGTACATTCACGTTACCATACCGCAGAATTGTATATTGCGTTCTTTCGGTTAGATAGTCGCAGCAGAGCCGCGTGTTAGGGTGCGTTCACACCTTGACGGAAAAGCGGAAAGCGCAAATCGTAAAAGGAGGAAAGACGAGCGGTGCAAAAAATTTAGTTCAACTTTTAGGACACACGAAAAACTTAAGGCAGTTAAAGAAATCAACATGTTAGATTGGCTACTGCTCACGTTATGGCTTTACGATCTTTACTGTGATTGGTCAATTGCTTACTGCTCAAGTTTTTTTTATGTGCCATGAGGGTGGGTTCAGATATAAGCAGAAAAGCAGCAGTTAATCAAAACTCTTGCGTTGATAGCAAGCAGTACAAAAAGCCGAAACCAGTGACTTCCAACACGAGTTCTGATTGACTGCCGCTTTCCTATTTTCTGCTTTTCTGTTTAGGTCTGAACGCACCCTTACGTGTCTGTGTAGTGCGCGCGCTTACGACTCGAGGTGCGTACCATTTGACATTCGCAACACTCGCATTATTGGCCCTTTGTTTAACATTTGATGAACGAGGGTGAAATAATTTAAAAAATGTTACAAATGTCAGATTTGTTCAAAAGTTATTCCCATATGTTGTGATTATCTCGATATTTTAGTTGTAATTTGGGTATTTCATTATATTTTCTTCCCAAAAAGTCGCCAAAGAACTCTCTTAAACTTTTTGCACCCCCAAAAAATCTCTCGATGGAAAGAAACAGATCTCCAAATTTAAGGAAAATTCCCTAGCAACGATAAATTTGCAATTACACCTTCGTCATAAAAAAGGATTGCGAATTGAGGATTAAAATTCAGTCAATTAGAACGAAACAGATCAAAATTCAAATTATCTTATCGGTCGAATTCTAATCTTTAATTCGCAATTCTCAACTTCCAATAATATAGTGTGACACACATATATAAAGCCTGTGTCACACTACATATTGGAGATTGATTAAGAATTGCAAATTGGAGATTACAATTCGGCCAGTGCAGTCAAATAATTTCAGTCTGTTTCTCTGTGACTGGCTGAATTCAAATCTTCAATTCGCAGTCCTCGATCTCCAATGTGTAGTTAGAGTGACATGAGCTTAAGGGGATCCTAAAGTCTATTTTATCGATTTATTATTAGTAGGCTTACACACACGATTTATGTGTCATTGACACATCGTACAAATTTACATACATACAAATTTTCTAACTAATGCTTTATATTAAGTATCTAAATCTAATTTTAAGAACTCAACATTGTTTATATAATCCCTAGTCCTAACCAGTGCTGCCAGTCGGACCGGGTTCCCCCTTCAATGGTTAGCCCGTGCGCATGATAATCATGGTAACTACAATAACGTATTTAGTGTTAGACAGTTTTAGAATTTGGCGCGATCCCCATAAACAGGCAGAAGGGACGAGACTTAATATGAAGGAATAGGAAAATAACATGCAAAATATAATTTATATCTGTGATAAAAACAAACTAGATTTCAATAAATAGTTAATTTTTACAATATAACATTATATAATATATATATATATATATATTATATATTATTCTAATCGACATATTAATTTTTATTTTACAAATTGTAATTTTTTTCATGAATACTGGTCAGGTTTTTGACAGCTTTCCTTACTCTTGCAAGAAATGTTGGTATCCTTTATTTTCAGCCATAAATAAAGTATTTTTAAAAATGATTATGTAATAATGTGTTTTTCTACAATATCTTATCCTTTTCCTTTTCCATTCCTTTTTCAAAATAGTTATTTTAACAATTATTTTTCTTATCCTATTTTTAAATTTAATCTTTAACATATATTATTTAAAAAACTTAGATTTATGTTTATTGGGATCCCCGCGCTTTTAACACGTTTCTGTATCATAGAAAATATTAGAAGGGAACCCGTTCCGACTGGCAGCACTAGTCCTAACCAAGATTGTTTTATACACGCAAAATATAAAATTGTATATAAAGTAAATACAGATAGGATGTCCCAGATTACTCGGTGTATATGCACTCCTTTCAAAATAAAAAAAGATGATTTTTATGAAAAGTTCCCAAAATTAAATTTATCAAGAGCAGTTAAAGTTTATTTTGTCATTATTTATTTTCGATATTATTTCAAGATCAATAGAGGTATTTTTACAACAACAAAAAAAAAAACTTAATAGCGAATTTATTTTGGAGCACACAAAAAATACATCATTCATGATATGCTCATTTAAACAAAAATATAATCTTGCTTGCTTTAAAAATTTTAGTCTTGATTTGATCGAATTTTTGTATTAATGCAAGTATTACTTTGCATTCAATTTAAAATTCACTCAATCAAAAATCTTGTATCAATACAATCAAATCAATATTAAAATCTTTAAAACAAGCAAGATTGCAATATTTTTATATGAACATATTCTAGTAAAGTTTTTTTGTGCACTACTTATAGCCATTGTATACTGATTTAATTTGAGAGTATAAAAGTGCAATAAGAATATTTCGAATTATAAAATCATATTTTACTTAACAACACCATAAAATGTTTTGAGGATTTCGCGGTTTAAACCCGTTTTCATGTTATCAAATTAGGAAACATAGCAGTATCTCGACAGTAAAATACATCTCTTTATCAATTTATGCCAGAGATACATGAGGTGTTATTTGAAATAAATGTATTTAAAATGAAAATGCAAAATACCTATTTAGTAATTTGTATTTAAATTACATTTTTTCAAAAAAAATTTTACATTTCTATTTAAATGGCTTTTCTATCTATTTTTTTATTCGAGATACATTTATAGGTTGGTACTAATAATTTTAGCAGACTAGCGCGATTAATTTATCACGTGACGCGCGATATTCAATAAACATACAACTTTTCTGAACAATCTATGCACTTACTGGATATCGCTTATCGCATGAAGCTATTATGTTTATTGCACACTAGATGCGATTAGCGATGAACGATAAGCGACGAATGATATCCAATAAGAAGTCTACTTTTTCTCACGTGACGATGCAAAACAGAGCTCTTATTGGATATCGTTTGTAGCTCATCATTCATAGCATCCAGTGTACAGTAAGCATTATGCGTCGTCTAATATACGGAGTAAGAAGTAAAAATAAGAAATTGATCAAAGTTGATTATTTTTCTCACATTCGACTGTGATTGATTGGCCAATTTCTTACTCTTTTTATTCCGTATTTTGAAGTCGACACATTAGGGTCATAAGAATGAACCCTATGTCCGTGTCAATCACGTCTACGATGTATGATGTCAGCTTATACCTTCTTTAAAAATGACTGTTTCATCTGTAGCGTCATTGTTTGGCCTTCGGCTACCATGATCGTACAAAGTGGAGACAGCATTTTTGAATCTTATCTTATCCAACAGTCAAAAAATGTTTCTCAAATATAATATAATACATGCCTCTTTCAAGCTCAACTCCAGTAGAATGTCTTTTGTCGTATACGGTGAATTTATTATGAGACTTCATAGAAGGAAATTGATTGATTCTCTTTTTGAAAAATTTGTTCTGAAGGCACCGTTTTATTACTAAGTCGCATAGTTCTGATCAGCTTAACAGAACTATTTTGTGAATACCTAGAGTTCTTGATACATAAAAAACATTTTTGAAGAATAATAAAGTTTTAAAAAAATAGTAGAAATATTTGAAAATTTTTTAGAGAGTACCGAGTAGTTCTGAGTAGCGTTTCTTATAGTACTCGACGACTTCTATCGAAAACTGTAAGGTGGAAAAGCGATTGGACCAACGGTTTGCAAGATACAGCGACATTTGTCAGAAGATCAACAATTTTTAAAGTGAGTATATCTCGGAAACCGTTGGTCCAATCGCTTTGAGCCCTGATACTTTTCGACAGAACTCGCCGAGAACTGTCCAGAACTCCGATCAGAACTACTCGGTACTCCCAAAAAATTTTGACTTCAAATTTTTTTCCAAGTCCCACGTCGGAAAATTTTTTGAGAGTACCGAGTAGTTCGGAGTAGCGTTTCTTATAGTTCTCGACGAGTTCTATCGAAAACTGTAAGGTGAAAAAGCGATTGGACCAACGGTTTGTAAGATACAGCGACATTTGTTAAATTTGTAAGATTATACAATTTTTAAATAAGTATATCTCAGGAACCGTTGGTCCAATCGCTTTGAGCTCTGATACTTTTCGACAGAACTCGTCGAGAATTGTCCAGAACTCCGAACAGAACTACTCGGTACTCTCAAAAAATTTTTGATCAAAAATTTTTTCTAAGTCTCACGTCGGAAAGTTTTTTGGGAGTACCAACCGAGATATACTCACTCTAAGAATTGTTGATCTTCCGACAAATGTCGCTGTATCTTGCAAACCGTTGGTCCAATCGCTTCTTCACCTTACAGTTTTCGATAGAACTCGTCGAGTACTATAAGAAACGCTATTCAGAACTACTCGGTACTCTCCAAAAAATTTTCAAAGATTTCCACTATTTTTTTTAAACTTTATTATATTTCAAAAATGTTTTTTATGTATCAAGAACTCTAGGTATTCACAAAATAGTTCTGTTAAGCTGATCAGAACTATGCGACCTTGAATTTCGTTAAAAAGTTAGCACCCCATTTTTTTTAAATTATTGAAAAATGATTATTAAGCGCATATGTCATTAAAAATCATAGAGAACTCTTCGTATCGTCAAAAAGAAGCAGGAATTATCATCAGAACTATTGTATCTAAAAATTAATTCTTCAAAAATTTAATTTTTTTTTTATTATTCGAAAATTTTTTTACATATTAGGAACTCTAGGCAATCGCAAATTGAAGTTATTAAGCCGTTCAGAACTATTCCACCTCGAAATTCGATAAAAAGTTAGCACCCCATTTTTAAAAAATGTAAAAAAAAATGTTTATTGAGCGGAACTCTTGTTATTAACTATAGGGAACTCTTTGTCTCGTCAAAAGGAAGTGGGAACTCCAATCAGAACTCCTGAGTACTATAGTTGGAGTGCTAACTTAACATACCCTGTTCCAGAGAGTTTTATGCTAAAAGAACACATGGAGCTGTGAGGGTTGATTTCCGGAATTGTTGGCTTAATTTACGGAGAATTTCAGCAGACTGAATCATCTTCGTCAGAAATTTAATTATGATCCGTTGTGCGACGGATGGATGAACCTTTTTCTTATTCTTGTTGTAGACTGCTATACCGACCCGAGGACACTCAAGTTAGAGATCGTCTTCTAACATCTCCACCAAAACATTGTTAACATTGTATTGTCTTATTTCATCTTCTCTAGGCTCTTTTCTAGAGCGGAATTCTCGTTTGTATTTGATCCACCCTCGTAAGTTTGGATCTATTTTGCTTATCTTCAATTTGTGCACTAAGAAAAGTGTTCATTTGACTAATATATTATATGTTTTACATTTGAATGTGTGCATTCTTTGAAAGAAATAAAGTCATAGATAAATTAGGTTAGTAAAACAATATTTTTTCTCAGTGTGCGACGACTTTAATATGTACCAATGCACACTAAATGTAATCGAGTTCGATATAAGAGTCTTATCTTTTATCGTGTAATCCGAATCTACAATAAAAAAAATACCGTACATGTAGGTGACCGAAATTTGAAATATCACTGTTCGATAAGAATATACCCGATCTACTTATCAATATTTTTAGAATTTTTCAGAAAAATTACTTTCTTTTATTTAAAAAAAAAATGCATGGATGACTTATATTTATCTCATTTTTAATGCAAAAATTATAAAGTATGAGATTTCAACGTTAACAAACCTATTGTCTTCGCGGTTGTCGCTATAATCTACGAGGCGGACGGCTCATTTACAAATCGGAAATTGGAGAGAAGATAGATAAATAGACAGATCGATAATTTTATCACGTGTTTTAGAATAGCATAAAGTCTCTAGGTAAGAGTCGACCATTCACCGAATTTGCACCTATTAGCTTAATCAAACTTTGTAGTATAATATATCGGATCCAATTAGAATTACTGCAAAAGTCAAGCTAATTTAAACAAGAGAGATAAAATAAAGCACGAGAAAACCAATTTTAAACATAGATATTTTATTCTCTTTTATCATATTGTACTTTTTAAAAGAAATTTTAGTAATATATTAAAATAAAATTCAGTTTAGAGAGTAATATAAAGACTTGACAAACGTCGTTTCATTGCAAAACTAGCTCTTCAATGTTAGACTTTTATTTAGAGATAATCTTCCTTCAAAATAAACGTTACAATTATAATTATAACAAGTATAAAAGTCTGTGAGTGGTAATAGAGAACTCGGGTATATAAGAGAGGTGCACAGGATACAAAATAAAAAAAAAGAGAAAAAAGGGGTGAGAAGAAATAGAGGCACGTGTACCTCCTCCTTGTTTTGTTGGCCTTTAACACGTAACGTAGATAATGCGCGATTCTGCCCCGATAAAAGATGCGACGTGACATTTTGGATCGAAGCAATGTTTCCGACGTAAATTCCCTTATCGGTAATGATGGTACTCGATAATTCCATAACGATAACGTCGATAACCCTTCTCGACGAGAACGCGATCTGGTGTTCTCGGTTGATGCCACGAATTCTCAGGAAGTAATTTTTTTTCTTTGTGATCATAGATTTCCTTTGGGATTTCTTCGATTTCAAAATGGAGAACATATATCCCCGGTTCGCAGTATCGATTATAATATACATTCCGGCGTGCCTTTTGCCCGAAAACAATGACATTGTAACATCGCATAATTAACTCCGCACTTTACGCATAAATTAACATGTTTAACGACGCCTTGTATCACGTTTTGTAACTTTGTTTTCATGACAGTAACTGCTTAAGCCGACGGCACACGATGCTTATTTTCTGCTGGATTCCTAGCTGAATTAAAGTCTTGTCATCGTATTGGCTGCGGTATCGACATTGCCAGCATCGCAGCCAATACGGTAGCAAGAATCTAATCTAGTTAGCAATCCAGCAGAAAAACAAGCATCGTGTGCCGCCTGCATCGAAATACGCACTCAATCTGCATAAACAGGTGAACATTCGCTATCAACAACGTTCTACCAATTACAAGTCACGAACGAGTGGTTTTTTAAATTACAAAGAACGGAATTTTTACAGCTCAATTTTCATTTGCTGAAGTCGAATAAACTTTACATATATATATATATACTTATACAACAATTAATCTCGTTAGTCTCTTTTGCTTTTTCTTTGTATGAGCGACATAGTAACAATTTTACAAGAAAAGATTGTATCACATTTCTCTATTTTTGATTTTATGCAAGAAATATCGTCGCGTGGAATTTAAATGATGATTTATTGATATCCTTCAAATTGGTCGTAAATTATTTTTAGGACTATAAATTTTTATTACTCGGTATTCAATGTATAAAGTGATTTTTTTCATTGATAAGCGATTGTCCGGGCTTATCGTGTGAATTTCTTCCCCAAAACTCCCAACGTTATAACGGATGAACAAAGGAAGCTCACTCTTATCGATTTTCTCTCTCGTACTTGGCACGATGATACAACAAAGACTCACATATGCACCTAAATCTTATTCGGATATTAGGTGGGCTATATAATCGCGAGTTATCAAAGTTTGTGATACCCATCTGTTAAACATATATCTCGATCTTTAAATGTGAAACAAAATACCATAAAATATCAGTCCCGTAACTTACTCCTCGTAATTTACTTAGAGCATTAAAAAAAAGATGCTCCTAACATATTAAAAAAAATTTTTATTATCGCTAATATATAGAAAATTAAGGACAAATCTGAAAATTTTAAGGCTTTGTTCCTACATGTTTCAAACCAATTTGTGACTGTCAAGATTAATTGTGTATTATTAAATTTTATTGCACAGTATTATTTTATTAATAATAATTAAAGTGAGATATGTGCAGTTTTGTAATAGTTTGAAACTGGTTTGACTGTATCAACAAATCCTTGATTTAAAATAATAAAAAGTGAAAATAACTCTAGTTTGAATAAATTTAATTTGAAAAATTAAAAAATATAATTAACAAAAACAAATTGCATTTATATGCATAAAACTGTAAAATATTTTCCGTAAAAATTTGCTTATTAGAACTCTAGTTAAAAAAAAAGTCTCGTAATGTAAAAATAAAGATTAATAAAGGACAATATTTGAAAATAAAGGACAAAATTGAGTTGCAAAGAAACAAGTTAATGTATAAGACAGCGACCTGTCCTCAAAATATAGATGGTCACTGTGCACATAGTGGAAGTTTAAGGCACACATTAAATTTGATATCAGCGAGGAATGCGAGTGTGATTGTTAATGATTGGTAGAAAAAAAAGCGCGCACAAAAAGTATTGTGAAAATGTTTTGTCGAAATTTAATCGAGAAAAATGTTATCTTGTTGAACAGGTGTCCTTTTCTGCATCGTACCGCGGGCGACACAGAAAGGCGTTATCATCTACGCTATTACAAGACATGCATGTGCGTCCACGATACCGACACGCGTGGATTTTGCGTGAAGAATGGCCCGCACTGCGCCTTTGCGCACGGCAATCACGATCTGCGCCCGCCCGTGTACGACATCAAGGAGATCCAGGCGCTGGAGAATCCAGACTCGGACCCGAACTCCTCGTCGAACGGGCCTAACATACTCGACAAGGAGCGTAACTTAATGAACGAGGATCCAAAGTGGCAGGACACAAACTATGTGCTTAGCAACTATAAGACCGAGCCGTGCAAGAGACCACCGCGGCTGTGCCGACAGGGCTACGCCTGTCCGCAATATCACAACAGCAAGGACAAACGGCGCAGTCCACGGAAATATAAATATCGGTAAATATCAATATTAAAATTGACCAATTGACATGGACGGCACCGTTTCGAAATAATACCTAAATCACGATGTTTGCTACCTGGAAAAAACTTGGAAACTTGAATTTTTTAGGAAATTTTTTTGTCCTTGAAAATTAGGGATTTTCGTGGAACTTTATTGTTACTTGAGTTTTTAGAATTTTTCTTTTAAATAAAAATTCTATCTTTCTAAAAACATTGGCCATATTTGAGCTGGATGGAACTGCTTACTTGTAACCGAGCGATTAAATCACATCGATTGGATCTTTAAGTAAGAACCAATCATGTTCAATTGTTCATCGAAGATAGCTGCTTTGTCAACTTGAACATGCTTATTATTTTCTTTAATCATTTTTTCATGATGCTACTTGTCGATAATTGATTAGCAACAAGTATGGTATACACACACCTGGCATAAAATCACTCATTCTTGAGTATGTCGTGAGTTTTTATTTAAATAATAGTGAGGCAGTAGAAGAGATAAATACTCTCCAGAAGAACTCATTATATCATAAGGCGATTTTTGGCGATGGTAAGGTATATGTTTGGTGTACACTTTGGTTGCTATACCTGAATTACACCAAAAATCTCCTATAATGAGCCTTCTCTATCCTATTATAATATTTTATGGCTCTAATTATAGAAAATAATACAATATATACATATAATGAACTCAATTGGATGCACTGCTGAGTGTAAAAGTGGATTACAAATATTTTGAATTATACATATAATAGAATACATATTTTACTTAACAATATAATAATATATATTGAGATTTCACGGTTTAAGCTTTGACTACATTTTTACAAGTGTTTTAAAGTGATCTTATTATTTTGTTATAAATTCTCTTTGTTTACAAATAACATGTATAAGAAATTTTAACATATTATTTCTTTCTTATAAAACATCGCTATCAAATATGGCCGCAAACATTATCGCGGAGCTGAACCCATTTTTATATTAAATACATTTTTAATTTGTGTACAACCACTACACATTTCTTGTATCCAATCGAATTCATTAATAGTTTCACGTGAGATTCTCTCTACTAATTTATAATACATAGTTTATTTCCATTACTTGTATCCTAATTTATTTCAAAGCTGCATTAAAATTTGTTTAATCTTACCTGGAATTTTGTATAAGAAAAGTATTGTGAACTCCAAGGATTCTCAAGGGATTTACTTTTTTCTTTTTTACAAGACCTCAGTGAATAAATGTTAACGATGATTGCAGTTCAACGCCATGCCCGAATGTGAAACACGGCGAGGAATGGGGTGAGCCGGGCAACTGTGAACAAGGGGATGCATGCACGTACTGTCATACTCGCACGGAACAGCAGTTCCATCCTGAGATCTACAAATCTACCAAGTGCAACGACGTGCAGCAGGCTGGCTACTGCCCGCGAGGCGTCTTCTGCGCCTTCGCGCATGTTGACCGTGAGTGTACACTCATCAATCGTACGTAAAAGTCTTATATATTCTATGAGTTCAATAATATTGTGCACATACGGCGATAGATATATAGAGTTTACATACGCGTCTACCTGGCTATTCTACGACCGTCTGCGACACGGTCATAAAATGAATCATCTCCTCAGCGCGGCGAGCGCGAGCTCGTGAGCACGATCCCGTGACGCACGGTCGTACGGCATTCATGCTTGCGAGTCCTTTTTGCGAATTACATTTGGAATACCTACACGTAGAAAACCGACTTGATAAATGCTAAATCTTAGCCGTCAAAATTGTTTCTCAAAATTGATATATTGGGACGTTGGTATGGTGTGTTGATGGAAGCAGTGTTGCCAACAGAAGAAATGAGCCTGGCGAGGGATATGGCAGTACCTATAGATTGCGGAGCGAATTTGGCCGACATACTCAGCAATGCTCTTCCTCCTGACAAGCGCTCGCACGACAAAGACAAACCACTCAGCGACAGTAGCGTGAGTATCAGTTCTTTATATATCGTAGTCTGCTTCCAAATATTCACATAGAATTGGATTTTTAAAAAAAGTTGGAGTAAAATAGCAGTGAATTTGTTTGTCAAACTGATGGAATTTAATTTATATTATTTATTTTTTATTACACAAATTTTAAAATGACACTTATGTTAAAAATATCACTTGACTGATTTGCAGAATGGAAGCGGCGAGGTCTCGGAATCCGCCAGCACTAGTAGTTTGGGTAGTAACAGCTCACACAGCAAGGCGCCAGGCGCTCAACTACATAATTCCAATAATACCAATTCCGGTATAAATGCAGCCGCGCAGCAAAAACTTACGAGCATACTTTACAACCCTAGTTCCCTTATACAAGTTGTAAGTTTTGTTTTTTTTTTGGACATAATACTGTACCCGCAGAGCGATATGACTTAACGATACTTTTAATAATAAATTTAGAGTAAGAGACGAAGGACCGTTAAGGTTTCGTGCTCGCGTAAATTTAATTTCGCGATACAATATATTATAATAAAGTGTACATACAGGACAGGATGTCCCAAACTTTTTGGATATCATTTATGGGCGAATAAAATTGACGCATAAGACAACTTTAAGATATTTTTCACAATTCTTTATGAATTATCTGAAATATGTTTTTTAAAGAACTTATAAAGTTACCTTAAAATTGTTTTATGTGTAGATTTTAGGCTGCAGTAATACTCATAAGTCTTAATTTTTAGAAATTAAATCTCGTTAACCATTACAAAAATTGCAAAATGGTAAAGGATTTTTCGATTTAGTTTAGATTGATCTACCTATCCATAAACAGTGTGTTAAAAAGTTTAAGACATCCTGTATATAAATAATCATATTTATATTACTTGTTTTTATTTTGAATTCTAAAGTCATTTTCTGTATTATTGGCATACAAGATATCCCAAAATTTACGGCTCAGAATACTGTAGCAAACAGTTCTCAAACACAATTCAGTAAAAAATTTATTTATAAATCTTTATTTTAAACAATAGTTTTTGAGATAGAGTTTAGATATGATTATATAAATTACCTTTACGCACCACACAAGCGCAAGCGCACACACTTGTAAGTATTAATCAGTGCTCACACACTAAGGCCTCATTTGTAATAATCGCAATCTGTACAGCGGATTACAAACTTGTTGCCAATCTGATACATCAATATTAAACTATTGTAGATGAGACCTAATACTACACGCATAGAGAAGTGGCCATCTAAACGTAATCTATATAATTAATCATATTTAAATTCTTTCTATTATTATATCTTAAAAACTGTTACTTAAAATAAAAATGTATAGATCATTTTTGAAAACTGCTATAAAATTTTGGGTCGCGAATTTCGAAAGATCGTATAATTAAAAATTATATATGTACAGTTTAGAATAATTCATAATGTGGTATGATTAATATTCATGCTCTTGATGTTGATTTCAAAATAGAATGAAATTCGGAAGCAAATGGTCGCCATCGACAGCGATCCATTATTAACTAAAGCTGAAAAGGCCCAACAGAAACAAAGTCTCTATATTGCATACAATTTGAATGGGACATTAGGCAGTCATTCATTAGCAACCACTGTTTCACCACTTTCAAATTCGTTCTATTCAAACGATACTGTAGAATCTGTAGTAGGTAAGTGTATATGATATTATTTATGTTCATGTTTACATGTTGTACAATAACTAACACAATTTGATTCCTTTTTTTTTTTTTTTTTCCCTTTCAGGAAATGCGTTAGACGAGTTACATTTAGACGATCCGTTAAATTTAGTCGACTCAATTCATAGGGATACAAACTCACCGATTGGCAATTCAATATCGGCAGGCCTAGCTAGCTCCGGTCTACTCGGTAGCTCAGCCCCAGTCAATATACCGGGCATGGCTGAACGTTCAGTTCTTACCAATTTTTCGCCATCGACATCAAGCCCATTACAACAATTACAGACTAGTTTTCTCACTGGATCGAGATTTTCTCATCAAGATTCTATGGAATCCGTAAGCTGCTTTTATTTCTATCCGCTGATATTGTGAGAAATATCGAATTATTTTACTAAAAGTTGATGTTTTCTTTGGATTACTTTCAGACATTACCATTTATGAATCAGATATCAGATCCATTTAGCAATCACATTTCGCAACTTAGCAGCTCGGCTTCTAAACTTAGTGGATTCAATAGTAGTTTATTCGATTTTGCGAGCCAAGGAATGTCACCGTCGCGTACGCAACCCACTCTACCGGCATCTCCATTGGTCAATGCATTTTCCATTAGTCCAAGTAACACAGGATCGTTATCCGAGGTTAGAATTGCACGATTTTAAAGAATTTCTCTCGGATATACTATCGAAAATTATGAGTCTTGTGGTGCATCGATCGTATATATACACGTTTTTGTAGGTACAAAGGCTTAGAGACGAACTGTCCTCGAGTCGTGCTCAATTGGCAACATGGGACGAGCGTATTAATCAAGCACGCGCGGCTTGCGCGGCATGGCAAATGGAAAGCGAGGACGCGAAGAGGAAGGCGACCATCGCCGAACAACAAAGAGACGAGGTGAATATCTCGCCTAACTTAACGTAGGCCTCTCTTTCGATATTAAAATTTCAATTTGCCGTGCTCCAGAAAAGAGATTTTTTGCAGGCACTGAAAGCACTCAGAGTCGAGAACAAGGCATCCAATGGCGGCCCGTATCTCCATTCACTGAGGAAAATAAGCGAACTCAGATCACTATCGATAGCCACTTTGAAATCAATTCAATCACAATTGCGCTCAGATCTCGAAGAGGTGGAAAAGGTAAAAAAAAGCTTTATCACAATCAGCCAAAACAAATGTCAATACCTTTCAAGCGAATTGATATGATTACAAAAATAATAGAATACATACAGCTTATTCTTGTTATTGTATTATCAGGTACTGTACAGAGAAACGGCAACAAAGTGCATGGTTTGCGAGGAACAAAATCGTACAGTTACTTTATCCTGCAATCATTATGTGGTCTGCTCGACATGCGCCCCAAATCAGCGCGAATGCCCGTACTGTCAAACTCCAGTTGTCTCGACAAGTTAAACCCAAACCTTTCCTTAGAATCCTGTTGTTGTTACAATTTCTGCTTCTCGTCCTTAAAAAAAAAAAACTGAGGCGATAGCAGTCGCAGACTCTGAAATAATATCATGTGAGTAGTATTACGATTTTGCAAGGACTTATGTATTTTTACTCTGGTACAGTGACAAAACTAAAAACAAGTTTTTTATCGCGGTAAGCATGTACCCGCAAGAATACGATTAATTTATCGCCAAAGTGAGTACGAATATGATTAGAATCTTTATTGGTGTAATCTTAAATTACATTGACATTTTTCTCTCTCGATATATATATATATATACACAACATATATATATTATAATAATATAATATATATATATATATTCAGTGAATATCACATTTTTTAAATGTAACGCTCTCTAAAAAGCAGCGTTATCGAATCTAAACAAATAAAAATAAAGATTTTATTTTATACATAATTCAAGAGATAAATATCTAGCAGGGTGTTAACACTATACACATTTAGCGTTTATAACGCAAATATATGCGGGTTACAGAACATTTAGCGCGCGAGAACAATATAATCGCAGTTGTGGACAAAGTTTCGGGACCTCGAAAACTATAATAATTGTTTAAAGAAAAATTAATAATATTAATAAACGCAACAAAAAAGTCTCCCACTTGCATTAAAAAATAATGGGAGGATTTTTTCTCGATGGTTGAGCTGTGAAACGTATGTCACAGAAAAAATGATATTTCTATTATATTTAAATCTATATATTTAATAGGATTTCCAATTGATTCGTACTGAATGTAATGATATAAGTATTAACAAATTTTATATTTTTCGTTGAAAACCTAATATTGAAGATATAAATATTATATAAGAGATGTATGTATATATGTCAGGAGACGCGGTAGTGTCTCCGGTCATGTTCAAAATATGTATATACAGAATGAGGCATCTAAAATAGATCACTTAAATAACTCGCTTGTTTTTAATGATACGAAAAAGTGTTTCAGATAAAAGTGGAACGGTTTCGAGGGGGATGTGTTTTGATCACGTTTTTTGTCTAGATGGAGGCACTAAAAAACTTTTTAATAAGCTTTTTTTAAATAAGCACCACAAAGCTTATTTAAAAAATTATCTATTTTATCTATTATACATATTCTTTTTGAAACAATCATGTGTTTTTTCTTGACATCAGTTGATTCGTTTCATTTATTTTGTTCATAAAAATATTATGATTTGATTATCAAAAAATCAATAGTTTATGTGCTATTTAATATTTTATGTTAATGTATGTCAGACTAAAGTATAAAATATCTCGTAAACACCATTGATTTTTTTTTATATGTGTACCTTCATATCTTTATATGCAGAATTAAAGAAATATCATGTAAAAAGTTGCGTAATTCTATTTAAAAAAGTGGACCCTTCATATCTTTTTAGTGCCCCCATCTAGACAAAAAACAACGTGACCAAAATACGTCCCTCTCGAAACCGTTTCACTTTCATCTAAAAAATTTTTTTGTATTATCAAAAACAAGCGTTACTTATTTAAGTAATCTGTTTTAGATATCTCACCCTGTATATACATACACACACATACATATATATACATATATATTATGCATATATATTATATAATTTCTAGGTTTTTATATATCTAATAACAAAGATTTCGCATATAGTTATAAAGAATGTGGGAGTTTACAAAACAACCGATAATTAGATAGAGAGCGCGCGCGCTGAAACAATTTATTGTATAAAAGGTATTATATATATCATTTGTTTCTCTTTTTTTATTCATCGATGTTACTACCGCTTATTTTGTTTTCTCTTTTTTTTATTTCTTCTGCCTTTCGTCATATACATTAGATATATCGATGCAGTTTGTTGAAAAACATTTATACTTCGGACACATCGATCGAAGTTTACATTAATGAATATTTTTAACAATTTTACGTAAAATATGCTTGTTTTCTTTCGTTTTGTAACGTGGCTTACACGTTTCGTATTTTCTGTAACACAATTTACTTTTTAGGTCTTAAATATGCTTAATTGTGTACTAGTATTTGCGATGGAGTTATTAGAGAACATTTAAATTAAATAGTGTGTGATAGTAACGAAGAAGTTTATCTTCAATCAATTATTCAATTAGATTACTGAACCAATTACCCTCATTTCGTGTTGTAGGCTTTTACAATTGTAGATGTAAGGATGTTAGAAATACTTAGGATTTTTCAATTTAATCAAAAAAATAACTCATATGAATAAATATATATATATATAAAGATATAATGCATACACAAGTCAAACGTGACATACGAGTTACAGTTCAGTGGCATGCTAGAAGTATGCTAATTAGGACGTGTGTCACACGTCTATGTACCCGGCTCTATGCGTATATTCATTTTAATGTAGTTGTTAAACTCTGATAAAAAAAATGACTATACACTCATGATGAGAAATATATATATATATATATATTGCCTAAGATATAAACGATTATAGGATAGATAGGACAGCATTATCAAATTTTTTCTTCGTATAGACATGAAATGTTACAATAATCAATTTTAAAGACTATCTTTTATTTAATATACATATATGTAATTACGATTTTGAAAATTATGAAATTATTAAACTCAAATTTATAATACCCCGCACAAAACATCTAAACAATACTTTTACACGACTTGTAAGACATTTACTAGTTTACACACGATTAATCTTCCGAGAAATATAATCGAGAATTTTTTTATCATCTAACTCAAAGGGGTATTGTTGTAGCAGACATTTACTTAATTGTGGAATTATCTGACATTCGCAACAACGCTAGTTGTTATTGTTTTTTTGCTTTCTTGTTTATTTTTTTTACCCTTTCAATTACTTTCATAGTTTAGTATCAAAAAGTGAGGCCAAAAAATAAATGAATGTTTTTATTACGTCAGTTTTTTATTGCAGATTATTAATATTAAAATATAATAGATGTTATTTAAAAAGAAAAATTACAATTTTCTCTATTATGGTATATATGGTCTAGAGATTATCGTTTTTAAAAAGTTATGCTACAATAGAGAGAATAGCGTAGAGATACATAAAAATTATTGAACTAAACTTTTCTTTGATGTGCTTTACATTCTTAATTAGATGAAGGATATAAGAAGCAATTTTAGAAAGATAGAAAACCCATTCTTTTCATTGTCGACATTTTTAAGGTCTACTTATACAATATCCAAGTTTTCTCCTTTTATTTCTTCTCTTTTTAACTCTTCCGGTTGATGTAATGTTACGTGGTCTCATAAGAGATCTCACCTCTAATAAATAGACGGCATATCTTAATTTTCTTAGAGGCCGCATATACCATAACACCATATTCAAAGAACTATTTAATATTTAAGAGAGAAACATTATAATGCATTTTTTCTTGCGTTTATTTAAATACATTCTTTATAAGTACGGAAATGTTATTATATCGAGATATATATGTATGTTTCCTTAAAATTTTTCTCATGTATAACCACTTGACATATTTTGGCACTTACGTGTACATAAATGTTAGTTTTATTATCTATTTATCTATTTAAACAAAAATAAGATGTCAAGTAATTAGTATACTACTTTCAATGTCTCGGATTTTATATAACTAATATACTATGAGAAGAAGGTAAATTTTCAATTTTTTGATATATATTGAGATTTATAAGTCTACAATAAGTGACGTAATAAATGATCGCGTTTATTGTATTTTTGACCCGAATTGTTGAAATCGTTGAAACGAAAGTACTTATAAAGAATGCGATTTCTTTTTCAATGATATTTCGCGATCGAACTCTTCCTTCTATTTGTATTTAAGGCAACAAAATGTTACAAACAATGGGATCATATTCGGATCATAGCAGTTCTTTGTATACGGAGAGATGCGAAAGAATCTTTTTCATTTTTGAATAATTGGAGGAAAGTTACGATCGCGTTTTACGGAACGTTTAGAAAATCATATTCTTGAATAATAGGATTATATGAATATTACAAACAATTATAATATATTGTACTATTTTACTTCTATAACAATTAAATAACACAATTAAAAATATAAAATGTATTAAGAACATAAATTATTGTGAAAACAACAAATTTAGCTACAAAATAGAGTAATAGGAGAGTAACAAAGTGGATGATTAGCTAATATTATATTATCGTGTAACAAAGAAAACATACAGTTGAATATTTATATACTGCTGTCCCCGTTGTTGGTTTCTTCAATAATCTCGCACATTTTGGAGCATTTTGATGATGTATCATTGTTATACGTTCAATCATTATCTGTCGTACTTAGAAAGCATTTAATTGAATCAATTTAATAACAATCGGTTTTCATAACACCATCGTAGAAATAAAAAAAACGTAATGTATCGATAACGAAGATACATGTGAGCTGTTTTTTTTTTAAGTGGTATAAGTCCTATTAAAAAAAAAAAGAGTTAATGCCGGTTTTAGTTACACATAGATCTCAGTATTAACTCATTTTTTTTTTTTTATATTAGACTTATACCACTTTAAAAAAAAAACGATTTATATTGAGCAGTAAAATTCCAAGTCTGTGTTAAGTACCGTTAATATTTCAGGCAGTGCCCGTTAAATCTTACAAAAAAATCTTTTTGAAATTAAATCTCAAAATTCTGCTGAAATGCTTGCGAATGCGGCTTTCCAATTTGGAACGCGTTGCGTTTACTTCGATTGCACAAAGAAAACCAACAATAGGGCAAAATTAAATTGAACACTATATATTTTTGACAAGTTACAATAATAATACCAATTACAAAACGTTATACGCTCCGTCCTGTGTAAATGATTTCTCCTCTACGTTACAAACAGATGTCAGATCACATTGTAATTGCGTTTGTTTGTGCACTAGTTGAAAATATTATGATGCCCGTTGTATTCTTTCCGTAAATCACGCGTGACGCGCGATGAGCGAGCGAGAATTGAGAGCTTCGGGGAGAAATTATCATCACGGTTCGGACGAAAGAAAAAACACACATAATCACTAGAATATTGTATAATAATGAATTGCGTAACAAAAATTGTAATATCTAAAGGAAAATTTGCTGAACATTTATATCACGATTTGTAACTAAAGGTACTTGCTATAGACCTGTGTCGTCCTTTAATCACTCGTAATTTTGATATAACAATTACTGCATTTGTTATTTTGATAATGGCATGGCTGA